CCCCTTGCCCCTTCCCAGCTGGGGCAATTCCTCAGGGAGAGGGTTAGACGTCATTTTGGAATTCAGGCTGAGCTAAACCCTTATTAAGGTCATAATAATGTTGTTATTAATATTATTATTTATTAATTAAGCTAAACCTTAAGCCATTCTCACGAAGCCTTGTCCACCATGACTTGTGAAACCCCTTCCTCTCTCCTGCCCAGGCGCCCTGACCGCGGTGGAGCCTCCAGCCAGCCAAACACGTCCGCTGCCTCCGGCTAACCGACGGGCCCAGGGTTCAGCCCAGCTGCCCCTTCCCTCCAGCTCGTGGGGAAGGCCCCGTGGCGCGCCCCCCCATCCTGCCTCAGCCGGCCAATCACGAAGGAGCCTAGGGACCCTGCAGCGCAGTGCCCGGGTCCCACCGCTGCCGCCCCCCCCGCCCCCTGTCCAGCACCAGTCCCAGCCCGGCCACGACTTTTACTGGAGGCGATTCGGCAACACGGAGTGCTCCGCCTCGTGTGGGAAGGGTGAGTCTGGGAGGGCGGGGAGGTCAAGCCCTTCCTGCTGATTCCCTTGGCAGGTAGACTGCTGCTGAGCAGGGAGATCTACGTTTTGCTCCAAGCCACTGGGGAGTTTGCTTAATCCGTCTTTTTTGGAAAGTTGGAATAACCCGGTGGTTAAGAAGCCAGCCACGCACCTGGGGAGGAGGGACTGGGGTAAATCTCGGCCCCCGCTGCAAACTTGGCAGATGCATCTTAAGGAGGTTAAAGCCCCTTACCGTGCAAGATAGTTGCACGCCTCTTGGAAATGTTGTGCTAGAGGTGAGGAGGAGGAGCAGGCCACCACTATGAGCACAATCTGTGGTCTTGCCTAAACTTTCCACGGGGCATTTAATTTACGATCAGCCTATCCTAAACTCAGGGCATAAATGGAATGAACTTTCTCAGTTGTGTCAGCCGTCCTGGCAAGATGGAGAGACCGGGGTCTCCAGAGACCCTAGGCACTTTGCTTTGAGCATTTCTGAGGCCTGTTAACATCCACCCCATGAACCATTAGAAGGTGACGGTTCACAGCCATGCGTCGTTGCCCTGGACGGCTTTTCTTTTCCTTCCCTTTCAGGTTTCTGGCAGTCCATCTACCGCTGCATCTCTCGCGTTTCCCAAGAAGAAGTCGGAGAAGAAAAATGCCGCTTGGTCCCCAAACCGCACGTGCTGGAAGAGATCTGCAATACGGAGCCTTGCCCAGCCTAGTAAGCCATTAATTCCTTCTCTCTGGACCTGTAAGGAAGACTCACCCACCCCACCCTCTCGTCTTCTCCCCCGGTTGGGCCTAGCATGAGAGGCGAGGGTTGCCGAGGGGTTTCTTCCTCGCCCGGCCCTCAGTCCAGCGGCAATGAGATCTGTGGCCAAGAGGAGAGGTCAGCTAAGGATGTGCCAAAGTGTTCCGATCTGTGACATTCTGAGTTGGAAACGGGGTCTTTTGAGCGCACCAGAGGGGTCCCGATTTGCAACAGCGGTGTCGATGGCTCCTGTAAGGCTGGAACAGCCTCTTGTGATCTGGAACCCTTTTGCACATCCCCAGTGAGGCTTTTCCTTTTGCACAACGTGGCTCAAGGACCGAGCAGCCTCGGTGACCCGTTGCCTCTGTTCCCGTGATGTTTCATCTTTAGCTAGGTGGGAAGCGAAAGATGAATTAAACAAATCAATAGTTTTCAGAATGTTCTCTAGCGATAGTAACGGTCATCATCGTTATTAGCAAGCACCCATTTTTGCTCCACGCTCACCAGCTCCTTGGCTGTTTCAGCTGGGATGCGGGCGAGTGGTCGGCCTGCAGCAAATCCTGCGGCCTGGGAACTCAGCACCGCCAAGTCCTCTGCCGGCAGATCTACGCCAACCGCACGACGATGGTGCACCCGCAGCGCTGCGGCCACCTGGAGAAGCCGAACGCCACCCAGAACTGCCAAGTGCAAATTTGCAGCCACTGGGAGGTCCACACCAACTGGAGCTCGGTGAGGCAGTGGCCGGAGAAGGAGGCATGAGGGCCGAGAAGAGGCGGGTGGGGGGCACGGTATCGGCACTGGGCATTTGAGGGTGGGCCTCAGAGCTGGGCTCAAATCCACATTCTTCAGCAGGGAGAAATGTCTCCGGGGCAGGATTCCACCTACGTGGTCAAAGTGGCATTGTCTGTCACAAACCAGTTCTCTAAATAAGTCTTGCATCCACACGTTGGGAGGGTACGTTGAAAGAATCCCGAAGCCCCTGGTGCAAGCCTGCGACTCTCCCAGTGGACCTTTCTCCCCAAATCCTTTCCCTTTTGAATTTTTTAAAGCAATGTCCCTTGGTCCAGCCGAGGGAGCGTTCGTGGCACAAATGCAGAATTCCTCCCCTCGACCCGAGCGCAAACTGGACATTGCACTAAATTATAAGAATAGCCGGGCTCCGCCTTTGGCTACAAGAACGCCCAGAATTCTGGAGTCGTGTCCTTTAATTTTGCGGATTTCGGCCTCTCTGCCTCTTTTCTCCCCCTCGTGCTAGTGCTCGGTCCTTTGCGGCACAGGCCACCGGACACGCCACGTGCGTTGCATCAGTAACCACGGAGACCTCTTGAGGGACACGGACTGTCCGGACAACCACCGGCCCCAAACCAGCGAGGCTTGCCACATGGGCCCTTGTGTGCGGACCTGGTTTTACAGTGACTGGAGTAACACAGTAAGAAGAACGGTCGGGCAGCCCTGACCCTTTTTTCTCCCCAGTTTTTAGACCCTCGCCCCTTCCGAGGCTACGTTAGACGTTTCACCATCTTTCTTCCACTTCTCGCGGCCGCTCTCTTCTTCTTTCCCTCCGCTTGCCCCTGCGGTTGCCGGAAAGTTTGGAAAACGACAGACGGGACGGGCTGGAGGAAATCTGTAATGCTCTCTTTTAGTGCTCGGCCGATTGTGGCACCGGTATCCAGCGCCGCTCGGTGGTCTGTCTCTCCGGCAATGCCGACGGGCAGGCGGATGAAGACTGCACCAGCCCCAGGCCGGCTGACATGAGGGCTTGCGATGGCGGGCCGTGCCAGCGTGTGACTCGGTGGTACGAGGGCCCCTGGAGCGCGGTAAGGGCCGGGCAAGTTTTCCCGGGACATCCGTGGTGTGGACTGTGAAGGCAGGGCTTCTTGGCGCCTCTTGGGCGGCCTGCCCCTGCAGACCCCTGCCCTCTTTTCTCTCCTGTGACCCCTGCCCCTTTCCACAGTGCTCGACCGAGTGCGGCGCCGGCTCCCAGAGGCGCGACATCATCTGCGTGAGCAAACAGGGGACGCAGTTCAACGTGACGGAGGCTTCCGAGTGCGCCCATTTGGAGAAGCCTCCTGCCCTCCAGCCCTGCCTCGGCACGGACTGCGAGGCCCGCTGGTTTTCCACCGACTGGAGTGCGGTGAGTGGGGGGCAGATGGGTGGGGGTCAAGGCCTCTCACATGCCAGGCTCTGTACCCCTCTCCACCCAGACGGGCTTCACATGAGATGCCTCCCCAGATCAGGAAAAGCCTCGACACGGCCCTCCCAGCTCGATTCGTGTTAGGGTGACACCAGTAACACAATGATCAGTTAAAGATGCAGGAACAGGGAGGGGTACGTTTGACCCCCGATGGTGTCTTTTGCCCCGGCAGTGCTCCAGATCCTGCATGGGGGGCGTCCAGGCGAGGGAAGTCCAGTGTCTGACGCAGAACAAGACTGTGAGCGCCCTTTGCCCCCCTCACCTCAAGCCGGCCACGAAACGCTCTTGCAACAGCCAGCCCTGCTTTCCCGCGCTTGGTAAGACACCGCTGCAGTCCCCTGGCCCTGCCAGGGAAGTGGGGTGGGGAGGAGGACAGACCCAGTGGGTCCAGTCCCCCACTGGTGGGCCAGCTTGGTGTCAGGGAAAGGGAGGACGATGCCCACCCCATTTTTTTCCTCCAAAGGATTGGTGCTTGTTTGAACTGTCCCCCTGTCCATTTGCGGGCGGGGGCAGCTTCCAGCCTCTACCCCAGCTCTTTTCCCTCCGGCAGATGAGGCCTGCAGAGACAAATACCCCAACTGTGCTGTGATTGTGCAGGCCCGGCTCTGTGTCTACTCGTACTACAAGGCGGTCTGTTGCGCCTCCTGTTCCCACGCTCTGGAGAGGCGCCACGCTGACCCGAACCGGTAGCATCGGCGGGCTCGGGCAGAGGGGATCGCGTCCTGCTCCCTCCTCGAACGGGGAGAGGACGGAGGGGGTGGGCTGGGAGGAGAGTGCCAAGCCTTCGAAAGCGTTTCTTCGGCCGAGAAGGATTCGAACTCAGGGCTCCGACGGACCCACCAGCATCCTGTCCCGTACCCTTCCCGGAGGGAGCGTCCCATAAGGTAGCCAAACTTGGGGGGGGGGGGTAATCAGATCCCTGGAAGAACCAGCCGCACACAGTCAAGCCAGGAAGAGCGCAGGGCGGTGCACGGATTGGCCCACGGACCCCGAAATTTCCCCCGGGTGTGCCACATGGAGCTTCAGAGGACCAGGGACTTCGGAATCCATCAACACTTCCTTCTCCCTCCCAGAAGGTGCATCGACTCTGCATGCCACCCTCTCCAGCTGGAAAGGGGTGCCCGCCTGTGGCGCCCCGTGAGCCAAATGCCAGGCGTAGATTATATCGTTACTGCTGGTTTTACCTCCTGGACACGCACCAAAGGCCTTTTTAACAAAGATGCGGGGAAAAGAAGAAGAAAACGCGCGGGGAGGGGCCCGATTCAGGGTCTGTCCCTGAAACCATTTCCAGAACTCTGCAAAATTTAGCCTCAAGGCTGGGGAGGGAGGAAACATCTGTCTTCTGCAGCTCCAGATGGAGACGCTCGGCCTCCCCACAGCAGCATCTTTGGGGTGAAGAGTGACATAGACAGGAAAAAAGGGTGGGTGGGCAATTTTTAAATCGTTCACAGCGCCTCTTCCTTGTGCCTTGAGGGGGGGGGGAAGTGATTTTTTTTTTTTTTCTTTCGAAACCAAAAAAGACACGAACGAACGGCAGTCGTTATCGAAGGAAAAGTGACCAAGAGGATATGCCGCGCTGCGTTTGCCACCCGCAAGGGAGATTGCCACCTTCCTTTCCCAGCAGGGCTCCTGGGCCTTTTCCTGCGGTCCCACGGATCCGGAAAGTCCTTAAATGGAAAACCGGCAGCTGGACAGAACATCTGGCAATCTCGCCCTGAAACTGAGACGAGGGGGCTCAACGAGGGGGGATTTTTGTACATTCTTGGACCTAGAAAGCAAGCGGCTCGGCCCTTGGGTTTTAAAATCTAAGTAGTAAAATCCTTTAATAGAAGTGGTTCCAACAGTGT